GTACTTGGACCCTTAGGGAAAGCCTAGGAGTACATGATGCCAGAGGCTTTCCGGAGGGATGGGGCAGGCTACAGATAGTGGTCCCAAGGGTGCCTTGGGGAGGCAGCAGCGAGGGTTCCGTTGCAGTTGTAGGGGCGTGTATGATGATTGTAATGATTGTATAGGGATTGTCACAGAAATTCACTCCTGCACCTAAGTTTAAGCACGCATTTGTTGGCAAAGGGAGGCCTTGTAGCAGGTAACGGTACAAGGGTCGTAGTGGTGAGGCCATGTCAATCAGGGTGTAGGAGGTTTTTAATGTAGCTTCAGTTCGGAGCCCTGCCGCACGCGTAAATAGGGATGTTTCCAAATATCAGGAGCTCCGTTTCTGCGGTCCCTATCATAAGGGTCATAGTATGTTGGGATCCATGTCGGGATCCCCCGCTTCATAGAACCCCACAATCTACATGCTCTCCCCCAACGTGTCTGAGGTCAGGATTGTACGTTTGTTTCGGCGGGTCTTAGAGAGAAACCAGTTGAGAGCTAGGCATTGGAATGGATTGTGGGTTTTATGGGACCCTCAAAGTGGGGGAACCTGAAGAAAGCTATGAACACGGGTTCTGGCTGTAGATGTCTAAAAAGGCTCTAAACCCTACACCCCAGAAACCCTAACCCTTAGGAATTCCAATGGCGTTCCCAGGACAGGTTAGGGTTTAGGGTTTAGGGTCTGAGGTAGGTTAGGGCAGGTTACTAGATTAGGGTAGGGGGTTTAGGGTTTAGGGTATGGGGTTTAGGTTTTCGGTTGGGTACTGCCCAAAATCAGTAACAGTTGGATAATATTTATATTATGGTTATGTATAGCCCTTAAAAGGACCCCTAATATAGACTGCTACTGAGTGGGGGCAGTACCCAAGTTAAACCCTAAATCCTAAACCCTAAACCCTAAACCCTACAGGTTAGGAGGGGTTAGGCTTGGTTTTAGTGGAGCCTCGAGGATGCCTTGGGAGTGCCCCATGCGCCCTACATGGAGCCGGACGGGCACTTCAGGTTGGGTTTTGAAACGGGTTTAGGGTTTAGGGGGTTTAGGGTTTAGGGGGTTGAAGGTTTAGGGTTGAGGGTTTAGGGTTTAGGGAAGTTTAGAGAAGTTTAGGGAAGTATTTAGAGTCTGGGCGCAGGGTTGAGATTTTAGTTTTTAGGGTTTAGGGCGCAGGGTTTCGGTTTCAGGGTTTGGGGTTATCTAGGGATCCCCAATAATGGAGAACAAAATAAACTATAGTCTAAACTCCTCAAAGGGGCTGTTCTAAGGGAGTATTTCAGGGGCTGGGATTCTGTAAGGGTTTATAGGGAAGGTTTCCCAAAATTTTGCGTTCGCCATGCTTGCTGGTTACTACTGCTGACGCTGCCCAAGTTGCTTTGGTGATTAAGGCTGCTGCAGTTGTCTGACTGGTATGTGCCCGGTCTATGAGAATAGTTCATCCCAACCAGAAACCCTTATTACACTTTCCCAATCCCAAGACAGGTAAATCTCGGTACATGCGAAAATGGGAGCCCAAATGCAGGTGCAAGACCGACTTCAAATCAACCTCCACCCCGCAACCAAACACCTTAAAACTCATATTGCCTTTTCAAATGCCAGACAAACTGAGGGAACTCTGCTCATACTGTAAACCCTAAACCCTAATCCCTAAACCCCTAAACCCTACATACCCCCCTTTAAAGGGACCTAATTATTGGGTACATGGACCCTTAGGGATACTGCCTCGGACAGCAGGTTCGCGCATGAGGAGCTGGGACGGAATCACCTCCCGGCCCTTCCCTCGGACATTGACCCTTGCTGGTTCTAATGGATGGGAGGGTTTAGGGTTTAGGGGGTTTAGGGTTGAGGGTTTAGGGGGTTTAGGGGGTTTAGGGGGCTTAGGGTTTAGGGTTTAGGATGGACCGGCTGCTACTTAGTTGAGAATGCAAGAATGTTGTACAGAACATGGGATAGAGAGACTATTACGGTGGGTTACATAGGGATTATTATATAGGGGTCGATTTCTCATTCCCTACCCTTTTGTAAGCTGCAGGTAGTGAAATTTTGGAAATTTCTCAAAATAAGCTGAAAAGAATCCTTGGTAGGGAACAACTGCCCATCCCCATCTACCCCGAAGGTCCCCAAGGCCGCGATAACCCCCGCATGTATACTGATGCTGTTTTAGCGCTTTAGATCTAGGGTTTACGGTGTAGGGTAGCAGAGAGTGGACGGTCAAGCCTGCAGCAACAGGGTTGCAGGAGTGGCAGAGTGGACTGATGTTGAGCACCTCCCCACGCCCCCAAACATGTAATATTGCTGATGAGTTAGCGTGTTGGGTAGTCAAAGACCGCTGAGGAGCTTCCTGGTTTTGGGATGCTACCGGGGACCGACGAGCTCCCAAGCATTGGTTCCGCGGGTCACTATGCAGGTGGGGGGCTTGTGATCTTTGGTAGCTTCCTAATACCTACATCATAGCTAAGCTCTACCAAAATTGGGGCGCCCGGGTTTAGGGTTTAGGCGTGTTGCCATTATCATTGGCAAGATTGTGGGATGGATTCAGGCTGTCCCCTACAGCCAAAACACCAAACCAATCGCTAGACCCATCAGGTTCAGGGACCCTAAACCTTAAACTTCGAAACCTTAAACCTGAGATGTGGGAAGGGGACCCTCCTGCAGGCGACTGCCGGCCATGCGCCTTCCTCTATGCCAAGGGCTGCGTGACAGGGCTCATCTGCGAGACAGGGGCTAGTTCTCAAAATTACTGTACCCTTTGCGTAGACCCGCCAGAGAATAAATCCCATCTGCAAGCATGTTTTGGAGACCCTTGGGAAGTTTCTTAGGTATTGGTGAGTTAGTGGCGTAATTATCTCACACAAAAAACATCAGCAAGTCGGAGCAGCAACTCAATGTTCTTGACCACGGAGACCCTCCTAAACCGTGTGCCCTAAACCCTGAAGTCTCCAAGACCAGCCAAGGCAAACGGTTCCATGTGCCCCTTTTGCCACTTGTGCGACAAGGGTGAGAAGAAGAGACGTCAGAAAGCTAAGAAGGCCATGTACCGCAGCCTCCACGACAAGGTTGGTCGGATTGGGTGTGGGGTTTGGGGAGTAGGTTTTAGGATATTCATAATACGCCCAAGTCGTAACCATATTTTGGGAGCTCAGGGGTCTTGTAGTTTGGGTCATAAGCACAGTTATAACCGAGATAGAAGTGGCCTTTCTAGTCCCCTTTACCCCCCGTGGTTTGCCAAAAACACCCCGCATGCAGAAACTCCCATATTCCCACGCATACCTTGGGTTGGGCCCCCACCCACTAACAGTGGTATACTAGGAATATATACGGACCCATATATAATCACCATTACCTCTTGTGGTCACTATTAGTGGGTGGGGGCCCAACCTAACGCATACCTCACTTTAGACTGTTTTTGCAGGCGTGAAGTGGATGCAGAACGCCTCGTGGCGGCAGCCGGGCCATTGTTGGGAGCTTGTCCACTTGTGCTGAGGGTTGCCCCGCGCTACGTAGCCCGCTACCTAAACCCTTAACCCTGGGTGCCAGAGCTGAGTCATGTGGTTCCACAGACAACCCTGATTTGTAATCCGCCTACACACATTATTCTACTTATCCCGGCTACTGTCCTGTAAACCGGATCTTGTTCTGCATCGTGGAAGTAAGGACCCAAGTGAAGATCTATGAGGACAGTACTTCGCAGGGAGGCGATGCCAGAATTCGTTTTTTGGAATTTGGGGGGCCAGCCAAGGTGCTCGGCACCCCCGCATGACAAATTTAATGCTTAGACCATCATCTTTCGATGACCTAAGACGCACAGTCTATCGCCTTCCGTCATTCACAGGCACACAGTGACATAGTGATAGTGCGAGACAATATTCAGGTCAAATATCCTACCTCGCCGTCGGTGCAGATCAACCCGACGTGTGGTTTTTGATCTTATGAGTGGCCGTGTCTGGCGTATGTGAAAGTTACATGCGTGAATGCGACGGCCACCCGATACATGAGCAGCTACAGGAGGTTGCTTGCTCTATGGCTTGTGCCAGGATAGGGGTTCTCATATCGTACGTAGGCATACGTATGCATACATATCCACTGAGGTGGGGCCAGGATACTCGCACTTGCCAGTATAGGCTCAGGCGCACTAGGCGCCTACGTCCGGTTGGGGGATGGCAGACATGTCCAAAGCCCACCGCGCTACAGGGTCCACTGCCTTGCTGGCATTCCCTTCACTCAGGTCTAGGGTCTATATTTTACCTCTAGACCCATCTTCCCTGCTTTTTTAGAGCACCTAACTTTGCAGAAGAATTTGCATACACTTAGGCGCCACATGACATGAGCGGGTTATAAGGGTGTAGGCAGGGCCTGTGAAGTTACACGCCACTTGGGCTAGGTCAAGGAGATCTGAAAGCATTCAAGAGAGTGGTTGCAGTGGAAATGCAGCCCTTACAGAACGGGCTACAAGCCCAACAACTTGGGCTCCCTAACCTAAATAGCCCCGGTGTAACCTCCAGATTCCATTTGACTTTCCAAGGAAGGGGATCAACTCTTCCACGCCTACTCCCCGAACAACCCAAGAGGAGAGGAAGCGGACCCATCCCATCCATAACCGCGAGCATGACTTGCCCTCCACGAAAAGACTGCAGCGTTGCCGTCGGAAAGGGGAATGGGAACCAGGTCATCGTCATTGTTTGGGTGGAGTTGGCTTTCGCATTAGTTTTGGTTTTGGTGGTGTTGCCAGGAGTGGTGGGGAGCAGTATAAGTGACAGCCGCAAAGGCGGCAGGAGGAGCAGCCGCAGTAGCAAATTCTATGCAAGCAATGGGGAGGACAAACTCCCAAAGATAGTACACGTGTTTGTAGTCCCTGCGGTTGCTTTACATAAGGCTCATTTCAGGAGATGCATGGAGTCAGAGTCCGCCTTGCGTCTAATCAACCTTGTTCCAGTCTATCAACCTGCAGAGGCCAACCGTTTTTTTTTTGAAGTGATGGTTCCCGTGTCCGGGCAATTCCCAGTGAGCCCTGGGTTTAGATCCTTGAACCCCCAACCTCGCGTGTCTTCCTGGATGCCTCCCGTAAGTAAATGATGCCCATGAAGCACAACGTTTCTCAGGTAGAGCCTTGCAACTTCAGCGTGCATTTCGTCTGCAGACCCTTCAGAGGCCCTGAAGCCGCCAGCCAGATAGCTTCTCCGCATTAAGCTCCTGAGGACTGCATCGCTGAATGGGGAGGTTGGGTGTATGTATACTGCCCGATGCTGGGATGTTATCATATATACCCTGTATGTCCGTTAAGTGCATACGGCTTGCCTACATCTACTTGTCCAAGAGCCCGGAGAAGTGCGCAAGCGGCAGTGGTCATGTGACAAGTGCTGGCCAAGACAAGGTTACACGTTCACAGGATATGTCACACTCATAACGAGAGGAACGGCTAACATCAATCCTGTAAAAGTGAAGGCGTCCTGAAGATTACGTTGACACTGAGACTCCAACGGCATTTAAGTTTTCGAACGCGCTAACACGCAAGGCCGCTTTGTTTTTAAAGTGCAGACACTCACACTTAATCTGGGGAAAGATGGAGTGTATCAGGGTGCTGGGGAGATTGCGTGAAGCAAGGTAGCCGGATAAAGACATGACCCGCTGTGATCTGTGAATAGAACATCATCCGCTTATGAACCCAAGAACTCCAGATCCTGTTCCGTGAAATGATGAGTTTCATGCCCTTTTCCGAGCTTCTCATGTGAGAGGCAGCGGTTCCGAGCCGCACTTTGATGTAGACCTGGACATCCAGGACTCATTGCAGCTCGGGTTTGGGGCTTGGGGGTTGAATATTTTACGATCATGAAAGTTTCGACTGTGGGCTTGGGTCCGAACAGAGGGGGATAGGTCTCATGCAGCGGATTCAGGCCACGCAACTAACACCGTGCACCGGTAGTTTCATGCTGGGTTGATCTTAATTAAGGCTTAAGAAACTTAACTTAAGTTACCATAGTCATGGTACAGTCCATAACAGGTTTCCTTATCATAGTACTGTAATTTCATTTCCAGAACAGGAACCCAATATTCGTGTCTGTAAACGCCGAGAGATGTGGCACAGACCTAATCGCTTCGAGAAATACTACAGACGCCGCTCGAGGAACCACAGGGATATAGAGGGATATATAAGGATATACAGGGTTATATAGGAATATATAGGGATATACATATATATATATAGTTATGTGAAAATATATATACACACAGGGTTTTACAGGGTTATATAGGGATATATGGGGATATTTAGTGTTACATAGCTAACATGGTAGAAGCTTCGTGGGTTATTCATTTGGTTTTTTGGAAATGCCACACTTTCAAGTTCCAATCCCTTGTCAGCTTCCTGCATACGCTGCACCACAATCCCGATTGACACTCTAAAGAGGGCCATGTTGCTTCTGGGCGAGGAGCTGTCGACTCTCCTAGACATGACGCAGCTGAAGGGTTTGGCTGCCATCATTGGCCCCTGGATTTGCAGGATTCCTAGTAGACATTACCAAAGAACCCTCCTTATATCAAGGTGTATATACATATGTACATACATACATATGCGTGTGTATGTCCATTATATGTGTGTATAAGGTCATAGTCACACTCCGATTTCGAAAGTAATCCACTTACAGTTGTGGACTTTGGGCAGGTAGAAAGCTTGGGATGCAGGATTAGCAGGGTTTCAGCTCTAGTGTTGTGATACAACAGGAGTAGAATTACTGTGACCATGCGACTCCGTACTTTTTTGCTATTGTCATCCTTTTTGCGAAAAGATTCAGTGGGCCCAGGGTATGGCGCTAAGGGCTGAGAGGGGTGTCAAGCCAGGACCTGTTGCAAGGACTTGTATGAAGGGAAATGTAAGGCTCTTACAAGGTTGTGTAGGGTTATAGATGGTATACAGAAATATATAGGGTTATAGAGGGTTATATAGGGTTAGACGGTGAAACATGATTTCTAGAAGCTTTGCACTGCCGGCAGAGTTGAATCGACAGGTTCAGAAGGTCTGCACTTGATGTTTAGATCAGAGAATGCTGAGCTGTAACTGCCAGAGTCCCTCTGCGCATGTCATACATACCAATGCGAATGTTCTGAATCTAGAACAGGACAGACTGGCCTCTGTGGGGTCGTATATTCATTAAGGTGCTTAATACTTGGGTATGTATATACGTGTGTACATAAATGTGTATGCTTATGGACGGCCCCCTATCTTTGGAAACTCTCATGAGGGATCCATCGTGGTTCTCGCTTCGGGTGTTGGGGAAACGCGTAGGTCATAACGAGGTATTCTATAGTCTCTCGTGAATTCTGAACACAATTATGGGTAGCCCCTGACCACTAAACCTAAACGTGTTTTGTGATACGCCTACCTGGGCTTAGCAGAATTACTCTACGTATCTCACGACACGCCGAACATGTCCTTGCAATCTCTAGCAGCCCGAGCATCCCCAGAAAATGAGCGGTTTAGGGTTAAGGGTTTAGGCTTGGGGTTTTCAGCAGTATGTAGCCCAACCTAGACCAACAGAATACGTCTTGTCTGAGAACTCCTGAACACGGGCCGGTAGTTGCAGAACCCCCATGTGCTAATCCTTGCAGATCCCTACATATACCCATGTATCCTAAAGACCATAAAATCGCAGACCCAGCGCATGAGGCTACATCCAGCGATGGGTTCGGCACGACAACCTCTTCCAATGGAAGCCGCCCCCAGAATCCTACAGGTTGGATTTGCAGCACCGGGCTTGAGGACTAGGATACAGGGATTATATGGTAAAGAAGTCTACAATTAGGGAGCAATTCCTCCAATGAACCTTGAGGGGTTTAGGCGCGAAAAATGTTCAGAGTATAGCATTTTGGGCCAGGCCCTTGCAATTTGGATGCGAGGACATTGGGGGAATTGGAGGAGCATGGCTGTATTGAACAGTTCTGTGTTATTGTCACTCCTACGGCCTTGTGTCTATTAAACCCTAAACCGACCCTAAACCCTAATACCCTAAACCCTAATACCCTAAACCCTAATACCCTAATACCCTAAACCTTAATACCCTAAACCCTAATACCCTAATACCCTAAACCCTAAACCCTATGTGGTGGGGTGTTTAGGAGTGCTTAGGATGTCGGGTTCCGCGGAGCGCACATCCTGCTTCTGAGGAGTACCGTGGTGAGTGCGTAGGAGCAGAAGTCTAAAACCCCCTAAAGGGGGTGGTATAGGGGTTTAGGAGTTAGGGTTTATAGGGTTTAGGGTCTAAGCACCTTAAAAGGTGGGTGTTTAGGGGATTTTAGGGGAGGACTACAGGAGTTATTAAGGCGGATACTCGGAGTGTAGACTATAGCTCATATGTGAGGTGCCCCTTTGCAGCCCAGCAATACAGGTTCCACTGTAGGCAGGATCGACTGGGTTGCTGTCAGGGATTTTTTTTTTAAATCACTATCTTTGGGAAAGCATATTCATCACTATATATACCCATTATGGTAACCCTAAACCCTATACACCTTATATACCCTATATGTCCCTGTATACACCTATATACCCCTATGTAGCCTTTATGTGCCCATTATGGTAACTTAATGTAAGTTCCTTAACAGCAACCCTGCTGTAAGCAGGGTCGAGTTACACGCATGGCCAGGGTTGAAACAAGCAGCCTGACGAACCTGTGGGAATAAGCATACGAGGACTTCAAGTCCAAACGGACTTCTGGAAAATATTGGTAGTAATACTGCTAATATTAGTAGTAGTATAAGAAATAGCACTAGTAATAATATTGTCAGTAGTAGTAGTTTAGGTAATAATGGTAATAGTAATATTAGTGGTAATATTAGTGGTAATCGTATACGTAATGATAGTAGTAGTAATATTCGTAGTAATAGTGTACGTAATAATAGTTAGGAGTAATAACAAAAAAAAGTAGCAGTATACGTAATAATAGTAGTGATCGTAGTAATAGTAAGCTTACGTTCCATCTCGACCTACTTCAGGCCTTGGACGTGTTGCTGTAACCTTGAAAGTTCATCCCCTAACCCCTCAGCCCTCGGGTTTCCCAAGCCCCTTCCCTAAAAAAACAAGAGGTTAGGGTTTTGGGGCTATAGGGGTTTTAGGGTATAGGGGTTGGGGGTCAGGATCTTAGTTTTTGGGGTTTAGGGGCCAGACTCTAAAACAGAAACATGTTTGTCAGGCAATCTGCTGACATCGGCGGCTGTGGCCTATCCAAGGGGCGGCTTCTGTGGGCGTATGCGCTGAAGCTCGTGTTCTTTGACCAAGGATAGATTCTAGAGGGGGGTGGGTTAGTGATCATTGTAGGATTTAGGGTTTGATATTTGAGGTTCAGGGATGTGGCCAGGCTTAACCATAAGTATGGGGTTTGGGCGAGAAGATAGACAGAGGTTGCTGCAAGGGATTCGTCGATATTCCGTAGGCGGGGTGACCCCAAAAATTGCTGTGTAATCTCACTATGTCCTTCAGCCGCCTTTAGGTACCCTCACTTCGGGACGCGGCCAAAGGAATTTTCATGAAACATCATGTAGATTGGGGACTGACATCAGCACGACGGCAGTTACTACAAGCATTCCTCATCATGGAAAGCACGAATCTGAGACGATTGCCCAAAGGAATGAGAGTCACAAGCAAGAGACAGATTGTAAAAGGATCCCGTATTGGCAACTTAAGCTTTAAAGGCCGGTAGGTTTAAGCCTTACGATTCCTTGGCTTTGTTTGTATAGCTTGCTTGAGTCTTCGGTCGCGACTGCAAATCTCTAACAAGAGTTCCTGTAAAATCCTCACTTAGGGAAACCAGTATTCTCGGAATGTTGCACTCTGTTTAACCTTTATCACCCTCGCAACAAAAGGACCCCCAGAAAATTAAACATTAGGCACCTTCAACAAGGGCTTCAGAATCTCCGGCGATTTTGAGGGCTCTGGGGATTGATTTGAAAAGGGATGGTTGGAGGCCCCAAAACTTGCAGGAGCCCAGGGATGACAGATTAAAGAAGGTCTCCAAGCAATGGATTTATTCAAGGTCCAGGGGTCATCTGGCTTACCCCTTTGCCCAAGTGATTTGGGCTATGATTTTGATGTTTCCGAATGAGGATTTGACTGCAACTAGTCAGCTTCAGGTTTAGTATTTGGGTTTGAGTCTCGGGATCTAAAGCTCCGAGGTGAGGGCTGAGTTGGGAAAGGACTTTGAAAGGCATGCCTTTTTAAGTCCTTTTCTGGTGGCCTCACAAGTTGCAGCTGCCCTCATCTTTAAGGCCCCCAAACAAGAACACACAAAATAGGGTCTTACCAACAATGGCCTGAAACTGATGAAGCGGCGGCCAAAAGCACATGAAACAAGGTCTCTTCACCAAACCCACTGCAACATTACATTCCAAAGGTCTCTGGAACACCCTTTAAGAGAAGTCCCATTGGGAGCATATTCAATATTCTGGGCTTGAGGTTCAGGGTTTGGGGATTTGGTTTTGGAGATGGGGCTTATCAGTTTATGTCAGGTCTCGGGTTTGCTGTTTAGGTCTTCCGTTTGAGTGAGTTTAAAGGTTAGCGCTGGTCGGCTTCCAGCGAAGGGAAGGCCTCTATTGAAGTCTTTGACCCGTGAGCTTTCAGCTTGTAAGCTCTTTCCCAACGAACTTCTTTCATTTCTTATGCACAAGTCCTTAACCCGTCAGCTGAGATCACAAACCGAAAGCTGTAGTCAACGTTGAGGCATGAAGCCAACATCCTGAAACCAGAAGCCTTAACACCCAATACTGGTCAGAGAATATGCTACACACTCTCCCAGAACATGAGTCCCTGAAACCCGAAACCCCAAACCCTTAAACCCCTTAACCCTAAACCCTATAAACTCCTGAAAAAGAGCCTCATGACTTCTGAAGTTGAGGCTTCTCAGCATCCACCCGCGGTACCATTGGACATCGCTGAGCTGGATGTTGCATGGCTCACTTACATGGAGAGGGCTGGGGTTACGATGCATGGAGTTTCCCAATTTAGCAGGATCCCAATATGGACCCTCTTATATTCAAATCCTTAGTATAGGGATGCCCCAAAGGGCATCCCTGACTTTGGGAAACGCCCACATGGGGGCTTATGAGAACTCAGAGCCTGGGTCCTTTCTTCTTTCCACTGACACAGTTACAGGTTATCGTTCAAGATGATGACCCAAGCCTTAAATTCCCAAAGCTCCCTCTACTCCACCATCCTGCGTGATTCCTGCACTCTACGCTGAAAAGCGCTTGTTCGCAGAAGCGAGGGCGAAGTGAAGGAACCCAAACCCCCCTGTTAGATCTTGTTCGCGAAGCTGGGTCATGTTTGTTGGATGACACAAGCCTTGAGTTGGTACCTTCTCCTTCTCCCCAAAACTCAGTATCAGAAAGCTCCTTGCAGTGTGTCAGGATCCAGGTAGAGAAAAAGCCCAAGTTGTGATAAGGTACTATCCTACTGTACGGGCTCTTATGCTGGTATGCGTAGCACTGGTGTGTTGCGTAATCTGCCTACCTGGGTTAGGGTTATCCCGGGTGCGGAAGGGAAGCACAACAGAAGTCCATGTTATTCGCTTCAACTAGCTCTCATATTAGGATTGTCTGCTTTAAGAGTTTGAAGGGCCGATTATGTAGGATGCCTAGGCAGCAAGTTCTGAAGCCCTTCACTTTGCTGCTAGTGCAACCCATGTCCTGTCTGGTCAGTACTTTCTCGACTCGGGGGTCTGTAGCTATAGTGGTTTCCCTGGACCCTTCCCGACAAAGCTGAAGCTCAAACACATATTTCCGCCTACAACGGGTCTCTGAGCACCTGGCGCGCAAATTTCATGAGAAACGGCATCATTTTCTGGAAGGGGACACTTTAGTCCATGAATAACCACCAGTATAGGAATCATGGTGTATCCCTAAGTGCCTTAGAGGAAATCCTGTTTCGAGAAACCCCGAGAGGGCTATTGCCCTCGCAGCCCGAACCTGAATCCTAGACCCTGAGCATCAACCCTAAGGGACCAAGGACCCAAATAATAGGGTCCCTTTAAAGCGGATATGTGGGGATATATGGCGATTGGATAGGGGTATATATATATATAGGACCCCCAATAATAGGGTTTTAGGGCCTAAATACCATAATTTCAATAGTGTTTGTGCTAGAGCAAAACAGGCAGATACGCCGGGCAGCATCACTGCGTCAAGCTCTTTTCGAGGCCTTGTCGACTAGGCGGAGCTGCCATACGTTGTTTTCGTGGGATTGTTCCCGCTTTAGGTTGCAGTGGAGGTTGCGTGGAGAAAGGGTTGCAGCTGCATATTGCACGTGTGTATACAAAGCAAGAAACGCGTAAAATACCGGTCGACAAGCAGCCTGTATTTTACATCTATAGGGACAAAGAGTTACTTAGGCCTTGAGCAAGATTCAGGGTTAGTTGTTTGGGCTGATTTTGGAGAGTTTGGCCCCGTTTGTTGCAATGGAATAGGCCCACCTCAGGGAGACCCTGTTTACTTAAGGTTTAGGGTTTAGGTTTTTAGGGCTTAGCTGAAAAGATGACGAACCGGTGTGCAAGGGCTGCTATGTAGTTCCTTTTTGGGCCTGATACTGTTTTCTGGTAAGGGATTAGAATATACTACCCAAAAGTCTGGGAAGAGGCACCCCAGCAGTCCAAAAAGACATGCAATACCACCCAGGACCGCATAGAGTCACCCGTGATCTCACTTCAAGGGAGGGGAGTCTTTGAAGCATTCCCTAAGGGTCCAAGTACCCTGTAATTGGGTACTTGGGAGTTTGGTAGTAGTAACTATAGTATAGGTTTGCAGTAAGCATATTATTATTAGCTACTTGGACCCTTAGTGATTGATATTCTTGTGGGGTTTTAGTCTGCTGAACGGTCTTCTGGATTGGGGCATTTGTGTCTTGCATGATATCATGAGACTATTTGGCTTGCACAGGAGTTCGGATGTTTTTTGTTTTTAGCATGCCCTCTTTTCATGATTCATGGTTAGAAGCCTTTGCGAAGCATTGAGAAGCTGCGTAGCAATCAGAAACTGCAAGGCGGCAGAACCCGTGGCCAGCGTCACTGCCAACGTGTGATGCTAAACTGGTACGGCGTAATTCTAACTCCACAGCCCTGAACTCCCTGCCTTCCCCCAATCAGCCAAGATCACCAATCATCCTCTCATAAACACATCACATCTATTGAGCATCCAGGGGCCCTGTGGATCAAAGCCGCATCGACGTCCTCCAAGTGTCGATGCCTTTGTTGGCAGCCTGGTTGCCGAAAGGGTGTGTCACTGAGCGTTTAGCATTTTCATGACTTTTCCTGTGTGATCAATGTGCCATAAAACGCTAAGCTAAATTTTCTGAACACCCCTAAGACCCTAGGCTTGTGTAAGAATGAGTTGACTCAGCAGCTCATGGCCGTTTTCGAAAAGTTGTCAAGGCCCCAGTCTTCCTATGACTTGCTGCTTTTTGCAGGGAGAACATTATGGGTGGTTGTCAAAATTATGGTCCCTTTTTGGGTACCCTAAATATTAGGGGCCGTAGTACCATAGGGATCCAAAAAGGGACCATGATTTTGACAACCACCCTTATCAAATCCTAAGCCCTGAGCCCGCATCATGAAGCAACCAGGGTAACGATCGACATGTAGTCCCCACTCTAGTGACAGCCAAGCGACACCAACTCCTAAAGCCCCATCTATAGCTCAAATACCTAGAACTGCAAATATGAGAATAACCCAATGCAAAAAATGACAACATAATATTATAATGATAATGACCATACTATGATGTTACCATGATTAGCATTCTTGTTACCAGATTATGAATACCACCAAAATATTATAGCGCCCCTTAAGTAGATAGAATATGGCTTTGGGTATATTCTCATAAGATCCCCATATACCCCATATTCTTTCTACTTACGGGGGACTATAACATAGACATAGCAATAATACAACAATACAGCTCATCCCAGGAGTGCCTCGCCATCCGGAGGGAGGCTTACATTGAGCTGGCCACAAGGAGCCTTGGAAGCGGGGAGAGATCTAGGTTTTAATAGGGTTTTTGAGGTTTGTAGGTTTACGGGCTTGGAAGTAGGGAGGCGTATGTTTTGTCTGGGGGGGCTTAGGCCAGCGTTTAGGGTGTTAGGTCTTTAGGTTTATGGGCGTGGGGGGGTGGCAGACTTCTCCCGCTTGGGCTCCGACAGGCGTGCGCAAAGGATCGGCACGCCTAGCTTTCCACTCCCCAAGCCTTGAAGACTGGTTAACGACCCAAAACATCTTTGAAAATTCCGCAAACCCATCCTGCGGAGCTCCAGAAGATCCTTGCGATCTCTATCACAGCCTGGCAGTGAGTCTTCAATTCCCTCGGCCCTCAGGAAGCAGAAAGAGTCCTACTTTGTGAAGAAGCGGTGCCTTGGGCTTCTACTGGTAGGGGGTATAAGGGGCTGCACGTAGGGCCTCATGAACGTGTGATAACGTGCGTGTTTCTTCCTACGAGGTTGAACAATGTGTGTGCTCATGGAAGCTCGGGGAGGACTGGCGATGACATGAGGAGCAGTCCAGGCGTAAATCCGCAACGCGCACCACCAGATGCCAGAAGGTAAATCCAAACTTCCATGCAAATCGCAGGCCTTCTTACGTGCAGTCGGACAAACTATGCTAGCAACAGTAGGGCTAATCCTTGTTGCCTTTGCTAACATTACCTCTTCATGGATGTCGTTCACAACAGTTCTCTGACTTTTATAGAATGCTCCTTCTCAGGACCCTACCATTGCTACCATCAAGATACAACGCTGCTTGTTGTTGGTTCAATGACAGCTGCTTGTACTCAGCGCGTCTTTGGGGCCGATATTGCTTACTGGTGTTTGGCAAGGAATAAAGGAATACAAAAACGAAAGTGGAAATAGCTGCATCTGTGGGAAGTATCTCCATCCTTGCCAGCGACCAGGGAGGTTGGGTTCGGGCGACTTGGACTCCTCCAAGGCCTGATGAGGTTTAGATCGGCCAGTGGGGCGTTTACTTCCATCTAATATTCGCACTCCACCGGGTCACCGCACCCGCCAACTGTCAATGTTGCCAATAATAGAGTATTTCTATACCTTGCGAAATCATTAACTGGAGGTGACTAGACCCCAAACCCGAAGCACTACTTACACGTGCTCCATACACGACAGAAGCTCCTTGTAATGTTTGAGGGGCTTCCTCCCCGTAATGATGGTAAACAGTGCTGGTCAGGTAGCCATGTAGCCCAATACCCTAATTCCTACTCTTGCCCCGAAAGCCTTAAAGTAAAAAGCTCAACACGAAAGGTGTTGCGGCTGCTCACGACGGAGCACCACGGATCCTTCGGACGCCTTGGGTGAGGCCTTTACGCCCTATGCTTTCCGGTCATGTAGCCATATGAGAGTGTCCAGAAACAGTGGGACCTTTTTCATACCCAGATTTCGCAACATAATTAACTGTGTTCGGTCCTTCTGACAGGTAACTATCCTCCAAAACCATCCCCAATTTCTGCAAATCCCAAAAAAGCATGTAGGGCTTCAGTGTGGATTGCAGGACTTTAGCTGTTGTTAGCCTAGCGCCTTTTGCTGAGTCATCGCTGCGTTTGCAAGCTGCTGACTGAACTAGGGTAGGTTTGCTCGGTACTTCCCAATATCTCCTGGAGGATGTCTCAACAAATCTTATGTTTACTTTGTGCTTGAGTGTTTTCAGTAGGCGTGGAATTGACAAAGCAAGGTAGTGAGGTATGATTAGCTCGGTCCCATTGTGGAATTTCCTAGTTGTACCTTTCCCCAACTACTCAGAGGCTTCATACGATAGAGGATGCAGGACTTGTGACACCCTCACGTTGGAACACGCTGTGTAGGCTTTGTCTTAATTACAAAGGAATGCACAAAGGGCTCGCTGGACGTGAGCTATAGGTGCTGGATATTGACGAGGTGACCAGGTATGATTAAGTGGGATTCACGGTGGTCTACATGATTTCGCCAGTGTCATAAGTTAGCTTAGCTCATGGCAAACATTTCCACATGTGACAAATGACGGACCCTCAGCATGCTGCTGCATGATGCAGGGCGTGGACGATGAAGAGGCCATGGGAAACATGATCTGTCTAGCGCCTCTAAGCTTGCCTGCCCAGGGTGACACCTTCAAACCTAAAGGTTAAGTCACGAGTACAGTCCAGACACGCTAACTTCAGGTGCCCTTTCGCTCTAGGATCATCCACTAACTAGCGCTTGCTGTTCATTCATGGAGGTGTTGTGGCCTTCAAGGGCCGTGATATCTACTTTTGGTGAAGTCCTCTTTGTCCCACCTTGCTGTCGTACTTGAAACTTCTAGATGTGCTGTCCTGGGAGTTCAGGCTGACAGCCTAACTAGTCCTGCGAGCATATAGATATATCCGTTGGAATGGGCGTAGTTACCAGCTCGCCTCGAGTACAAGATGAGCAAATTAACTGAAACGCATGCTCTCCATTTCTGGCAGAGTGCTTCCGTACCCAGATTTCGGCCAGCTTTGTGCCAGAACACCCACTTGCAACTTCTTGCTGGAAGGTGCCACCAACGAGTCCCCAAGGCTAGAGGGGCTCTGAACCTGCGAAACTTCAAGAATCTGCTCGGAAAACATTGGCAGCGCCCAGCTGTAGGATTCCCATGCGGATAGCATCCATTGCTGGACCCCAGGGTTGCCACGCCTTCAGCCCCAGCCCCTGAAGGCAACCCCACTATCTATCTGCAGGTGCCTAGTCAGGGAAATTACACAGACCCAGGGTCACTACACCTTGAACCCTTTTCCTGACTTGTCCTTCAAGCCTAAGCTGTAATCTAACTCCCCCCTTGTGAGGACTTCGAAGGCGCCGGGCTGCAGATCTGTGTTTGCATAGGGTTGATGTGGAGGTTGAGAAGTGGCCAGTTACTTGCGGGTTCGTCAACATGATTCTGCACACTCCTCAAACATTGACCCCCATCACTTCCTCAAAGTCTTATAGAATCCTCCGAGAATAGACCACCAATTTGAACAAACGTATGCCGCGCGCTGTAAGTAGAAACAAAACTTTAAGCACATTTGCAGCATTGGCATTCATCATTCATCATGTTAAAAATTGTGCACAGCCTCCAGGTACGGATTGAGGCTTCAGGGGTGCACTGTCATGACTCTGGCCTCCGTTGGCAAATCTGGATATGTGCTGCCTAAATCAAGATAGAGGCTTTCAAAAATTAGCCATCATTTTCGGCACGCATCTTTTCTCAGTTCCTAGCCTCATACTATATGAGACCTGATCGGGGCTCGTGGCCCAAACTTCGAACCGCCCTATAAACAGCAAAGCCTGTGTACTTGCTTCAGGGCAATCATGCCGCAATTATCACGGTATTTATGACCCACTCTTGACCATGTCAGGGGACAAAGGGGGCTGATAATTGGGTTACAAATACGATCATAGTTAAGTGATAGTTGCCCTGAACCTCCAAGTAAGGGAGCATGGTACTACAGCATCCTCAAGGGCATGCTTGGGGTCTAGGGCAAACAACGAGTGGCTGAAGGGAAATGTTTGAAAGGTTTCAGGCAAATGGCGATTGATCTTAAACTATTTGCGCGATTGCCATAGTGACTACCGTGTTTTTCAGAGCCTAAGCAATGAGGCCAGAATTTTGAAATGCATATGCCAGGCGTTGTATAGGTGACTTTTCTGCCGCTAAACTGATGCAAAGTCAACATTACCACGGCAACCACAATACTGCATACAAGTATGAAGCAGCAACTCTCCAGATCACCTCCCTGGAGCCCCAAAAAGGGCAATAGGGTCAGAGCACAAGCCTAAAGTGGATCTGTAGCCTCCTTGGCACGTATGTCAACGTCTGCTTTAGCCTCAATGTGCATCTACAGCGGAGGCTTCACACAAAGAGCTTGTCATGCAAAGTACTGCCCCCACCCCGCCTCATCAGGCAGACAGCCTCACCAGGCAGACAGTATGCTTGTTCGGGGCCGCCCCCAGACTGTGTAGGACCTTGCCCCGTGATCCCTCAAGATAAGCTTGGGCGAGTAAGAACCCTTATATGAATTACCCGCATCCCAAGTGGTCAGTGTTGTTGGCTACAGATTTAGCCTAAAAGATAGGCTAACCCTAAACCCAAAGCCCCGAAACCTACCCCAAACCCTAAACCACCTTCGGAGCGGAAACACGGATGTGGCGAAGGATCGGGCCTGCGGGGCTTTGTCATCTGCCCTTTTGGGGGTTTAGGGTTTATGGTTTAGGGTCACTGTTGCTGTGTAGGAACTGAAATGACACTATCATTAGGGAGAATCATCACGGGGAAACCATACAACTTACCATATACCCATAGCAATGCCATAAGTATGGTAATTTAACTACGTTTTTTCCACAGCAACCCAGTTTGATTGCCTATCAACATTTATGACCCCTTGGGGTTGTCAAGACTCAAAGCGTAAGACCTTGACCTACAGCCCGAGAATCCAAAGCTTGAAGGACATCGTCAGAATATAGATCAAGTAAAAAGTATGGTTTCCCCTTACTGGTCAACTAATGCAGGCTCCGGAACTGTAACCCAGTTAGACCCTAAAGCTTTTATCCCTCATCCTAAACCCCAGACCCGAAGATCCCAACGCAATATACCATCTACATGATTCGTACAGAACCCTTTCTAGAACCCTATGTAACCCCTAGAGAATCCCTATAGGACCCCAAGTAGAATCGCTACATAATCCCTTAAACCTAGATCCCTAAAGGCCTTTTTAAAGTGCCGCCAGGTCTCGACCTCGATGAGTCTTCCGATGAGTCTGAGGAGGAACTGGTGGACGGAGGCCGGACTATGGACTTTTTCCCCTTTTGTATATGGGGATAATGGAAAAGAGAATGGAAACTACTGTAGTATTTGGTGGCCTTTATAGGGATAATGGAAAAGGGAATAGAGGTTATAGGGTTTAGGGATTTAGGGTTCAGGGTTCAGTTTTCCCCACATTAACGGACCCTTTAGGGTTTGGGTTTTAGGGTTTGGGGGTTGAGGGTTTATTTGGGTATGGGTAGAGATGAGGGTTTATGCGGGATATGTAGGGTTTAGGCCTTGGAGTTTATGTTGTACTGTTAACTCACAGGGGATGCATAGAGAGAGGTTGTATGGAGATGCACTGGAAACAAAGTGAGAATTAGTTTTTAAGGTTTAGGCTAAGCCGTGGCATATTTATGGTCGGGGTGGTGGGAGGGTTCATTATTTGGGCAAAGGGGTGATTAGAAAACCCCAATACTAGGGCTCTGCGGACCATTCCAGCCTGGTACTGGGGCGCACTATTTCGGCCTGTAGTGGATGTTCTTCAAGCCAGGAGTACAAAACGAGCAGCTGAGAGCATGTTTGTTCAGGAGATGGTGGCGATTCTCAAACAATGACCATGATACGAAAGCCAGAAGTGCCGCTCGGCTTAAAGAGCTTACGGTCGCAGCTCAGAGGTCAAACTTACTTCTTTGGATTCTGGGTTGAGGCCCCAAAACCTTTTAAGCCCTAAACCCTAAACCCTGGAGGGTAAGTCTGCAGGGACAGGGTCCGAAGATCCCGGCTGCTGTGGATGCTGTCAGCCTGCACCATGCCAATACAAACATCTTTTACCACACGAAGTGTGGCCTGTCTTGTGAGTAAACTGTTGTGAAGTTTAGTCGCCCTAACCTGTGGCAGTAATGTGGCGCGAGAGAGCTAGTCACTGCCAGAAGAGGACATCATGCCTTGAGAGGCTTGTTCAGCTCAAAACTAGCTGCCAACATGCAAGGTCTATTTCCTTGCGGGACGCCGTGTCGCATGTCACTTGGTTGCATGAGGGCGAGGTTTTGGGGCCTGTAGGCTGTCAAGGCATCATCCATACATCCTTGCTACCATCATTTTTCTTTAGCTGCATTTGCCCTCTGCGCCGGCCATGTGGCTATGGGACTGCAGAGGCCCAGGAAGAAAGGCTGCCGATGGTAACAGGTAGCAAGGATGTCATGCAGGGGGTATGCCTCACCGCTTCTATGGTACTCATGGTAGGCCAGCATCCGACTGCAGATATGCGAAAACATGCATCTATAAACACGTGGCAGTGCCCTGAGACCCCACTGCTCTCGCGACTTGCTTTGGAGAGTTTGAAGATGGTTGAAATGAGGACCTGTAATGCTATCAAAGAAGCCTTGGTGGGCTGGCATCCGCTTCTCCATACTGCCAATCCCAAATTCCGACCCTGGACGGTCGGTAGGTACGATACTACACTGGCAGAGGTAAAGGATCATCATCCGTCATCCTGGCATAAGGCCTAACCTAAGCTGCCTAATCCCCCAGCACTCTACACTCGCAAGGTGTCTGAGGCCACCTACCACTCCAATCACACACCTGAGAGACCCCAGAGCCCGCAGGAGAAGGCGTGCCGGGTTTGGGACTCATCTGGATTTCTTGAACACTGCTATCTTGAGGATTACGCAGGAAATGCGCATGTTCTACGGGTGTACAACCATGTAAGGGACCAACTTGCAACGATACAGCCCTGCGGTATACTGAGTATGTAAACATGCTCACTACGGGTGAGTTGTCCAACTCACGAGAGATGACCACTCTATCACTTTGACACGTCGAGCGCCAAATTGACGTGGCGGCTCATGAGCGTACTTAGGGTTTAGGCGTTTAGGGCTTATAGTCACTTATAAAGTTCACCTTAAGTAGGTGGAATTTGGGGCCTATCGAATCTTAGTATGATATTGGGCAATTCCATATTCTATCTACTGGGGGTGGTCTATAGGGTGTAGTGAGATTCTGCACCCAACTTGCCCAAAAGACTTGGCGCGGTCTATTTGGTACATGCCTTATACCCTAAACCCTAAACCGCCTGGGACATGGTCTTCCAGATAGAGAGGCTCGGGGCTCGTGGACGGTCAGGCAGAAGCAAGGGATGAAACACATTCAACACGCCAAGGAACCATTCCTAACAACAAACATTGTATACACGACCCCCAGAGCCTCCCGGCGGGAAAGAGTCCGTCTAGATTTTTGGAAGAGGTTCTCTCGGCGAGGTGTACCAAACGCGCGCCCCAAATGGATGTCTAGGGCGTGTTTTATCTGAGTGTGCCTTCACATGATCCCGCAGCTGCAATCGCTGCTGCTGTAGGGTTAGACGAGCCTGCAGCAAAAAGGGTTTGATGTAAGTAAGGCGTTGAAGGGTTTGATTTAAGGTGTCCTCAACAAAGTTTGCAATTAATCCCCGTAGTTTTACCCCTAAACCTAAAACCCTAAACTCTACCCCCTGGAGGAAAACAACAAGAAGTTCGGGCTCTTCGGAAGTGAGGGGAAGCGCGGCATTGAGAAAGCTGTGTGAAGCTCTGGAGTTTCCATTTGACAGGGAATTCTTCTGGTGTTTCTCCAAAGTCGGCTGCTATCAGTCTTACGAATATGCACCCTACCCAGAAGAAAGGCCGAAACACGTCTAGTTGCTGTTGTTTTTGGGGTTGGGATTCAGAAGCTTGCGCTTCATGCGCTTTAGGTTCAGGGTTGAGTGTTTGAGAGGGACAGAGCCCACTCACAGGTTCAGAAGGTAGTAAGGCTTGATACAGTGAATACTTTGGTCGTGGGTCAGACACGTCATTTTCTAGTTTTGAAGATGTCATCACGGCTAGCTTTACCCGAGTATGCTATACTTATGCAAGCAGGGTTTCCACCTCGCAGGTATCTTGGCCACTTCGCATGCACCTGAACAAGAGGTTCAGTAAGCAGAGGCTCCTGCATTCTGAGCTCGTTTTCTTTAGCACGTGGAGGAATCCCCGGCTCATGCTGCAACCCAAATCCGAAAACCCATGGGCCTGAAGTCTTACACTGCTCCGGCCGAGGAAGAAGCCCCGTGACAAGCTCGACCTTGCTGCAGCACGCGAGTGCATGGGCTGGAACGGGAGTGGTGCATGATTTGTGCAACCCCTGCTGGACGACAAGCTACTTTGCATAGGGATTGTATAGGACTTGTTTCTGGATGGTGAGATTATTGCTATTATTGCTTTTACTTTTATTACTATTACCACTACTATTACTAGTATTTCTATTAGGGTGGCGCCTCCAGTGGCATTAACGGCAGTTGAGAAGTCTGGCCGGATGAGCAAGCTTGCTACTGGTATGGCATACCAGTAGTACGCCTGGTATGGCGGGGTGTTTACGGTTTAGGGGGTTCAGGGTTTCTAAAGCATTTTGTGAACTGTCGAGCCAGACTAGAAGTGGTAGTTGCCAAAAACAGGGGCACCCCAATATAGAGCCCCAAATACTGTAATTCTTATTTTAGAGACCCCAAAAACGGTACTCCTTAGCCCGTGAACCCTACAATTTGGGTTGACGGCATTATACTTTTCAGTGCTGCAGCTAATTACTGCAGCTGGAAATCTAGTCCCTCCCGTGCCAACACTCACAGCAGCTGAGGGCTCTTAAGTCTAGAAGCCAAATCTTACAATTGGGGAGGGAATGCCGGGTTTTTGTGTACATGCGCTAGTCCAGGCTTTATAGTGGCAACAGTGCTGAATGCGCAATGACAATTTCAACGGTTGCTGCAGAATTCTCGTGGTCGAAATTCGCAGCCCGATCGCATGATATGTTACGTATCTTGCAACTTCAACTCATTCATTGTTGAAATGGGCCTCTCCACATGGGTGCCCTTTCATCCGCTTTCCCCCATGGCCATGGCCAAAGGTACATGCAGCTTGCCGTTCACTTGCGCTGCCTGCCAGCAGTTCATTGACAGTCCTAGAGCCAGTTGGCAATGATCTTATCCTATTTCTCAGATGTCAACAGTTGCCCAGGCTCGAAAAGCTACCTTGAATGACTGAGTCCTTTACGTTAAGCCGCCTTCCTTCCACATGTAGTGAGGTGCCTGCCGTACGGCTGCGCAGCCCTAACTTTTGGTATGAGCATTCCAAGTACCATCTTGGAAAGGCCTTGTCGTAACCTCAACTTTTGTCATTCCCATTCGCAGCCCAAGCAGCCTTCCTTGTGCAAAGTGTAGAAGATGCCTTCTGAGTCTTTTTGCGTAGATAGCTCACAATCCAGCTTCAGGATTCCCAGCATAAAGAACTATCTCTTTTTTGTTCACGAAGACTGTGTTTTGATTGGGCCTCAATTCAACAAGGATTTAGTCCTGGATGTTTTGCTTGCCTTGTCCTTGATGTGACCGCGCCCCTCCTCCCCCAATCTTACTGGTTCTTAGGAGAGAATGAGGGAATATTACCCTTATGTACTATCTTCCCAAATTCCCTACCAAACCCCAGTCAGCCTACTGAGCTGCTGATGGTAGATGTCCGGCCCTTCTTCGATCATCGGAAGCATTGGATTTCGTCGATCCCGCGGGGGCTTCATGGTTTAGGGTTTACGGTCTGAACTCCTTAAAGGGGGTTATACAAGGGATTAGACAGGGGATTACTATACTACCAGCAGTAGGGGTTATTATGGGAGATACTAGGAGCTCAGACTATGCCCAGGTGAACACTCCGCTGCAGGTTGTCCTTCATGTAAACGGTGGAGTCCTGTGTTATCCGACTCCTAAGCATTGCACTTCAGAATGCAACAAGACAATAAGAATGACTCGTGTAGTGAAGGCACTTCAACAAAGAGCTTACATGTTTCAACCTCTACTCTACTGTTTTTGCTGCGCCTTCCATAAGTTCCCTTATCCAGATTATCGCGTTCCTTTGTGATAGTTGCTCAAAAAGCTCCATTGACACCGCACCCCAAGACACCAACCCCCCGAAAGTAAATACTCCTTGGCTATCAAACGCGAAGCCAAAATCCTTCACCTGCAAAAACGCCGTGAAGTTATACAGGCTTACGATCTCCATATATTAATACACCCTGAACCGCAAACCTTTGAATCTTGAATCTTGGCATCACCCAGGAAAGTTCTATTTCGACCTGCTCTATCCTCCGGGGGCCAATGGACGTAGACGGGCCTTGCTTCGGTGGGGGTGCCTTAACAGAACAAGATTTCTCAAAAAGCGGCCATCAGGGGCTCTGCTGTAGGGATATACCGACTCCCTCTAGGGAGATTATGGCGGTCTGCTTTAGGGAACACACGAATTGTTATCAGAAACTCCACAAAAGGACTAAGTGGGAAGAACGGTCATGCACAACTTGTGCTCTCCTTCCCTCATGGCTCTTCTATCGTTCTTATCAACTCCTGCCCACAACCCTGTCTATTGAAGTTTGATAGGCCTTCATTGGGTTGATCTAGGGGTTTAGGGTTTAAAGGATTCAGGGTCTAGGGCCATGGTGCAGCTTCTGCGAAACATACTCTGCAACTACTGGATGTGGACACAATATGGGGAGCAGCGACGCAGATCATACATGCAAAAGGGAAAGCTGTGGTGACCACGGGAGGTGTTGGAATGAGATCAAGGTGCCAATCCCGCTATGCAGCTTGTATATTGCAGGTTGTCAAAAGCTGTGGTCCCTTTTTGGGGTCGCCCCCCCACTACTTACAACAAAGTACCCAAGAGGGGGAGCATGAAACTCTCGACCCTCCATATCAACTTCAGGTGCCCCAAACCCTGAATCCTGTACCCTTTCACAAGATGCTTTAGTTGGACCCGGATTTCCACCTTGCCATGCTGCATGGCCATGCAAGCGGCAAACCCTAAAGTCAAAACCCTAACCCCTAAACCCGAACCCGTAGACCCTAAACCCAAAACAGAACACGGCAACAGAACCCTACGCTCATAGCGGCCTTGAGGATATTATTTGGGGCTTAGGACCTTTACTGTGGTTAGTGGTGAACATGGGAATATAATCCCTATATAACCCCATATGACAT